TGTGTGTGTGTGTGTGTGTGTGTGTGTGTGTGTGTGTGCATGCGCACATGTATGCCTGCATCTGAACTCCTGAGACAAACATAGACGTTGGTGTACTCCAGAGATGGTGTTTTAGCACTCAAAATATTGTTATTATGCTGATGTTCTGAACATTTAATTATGGGATAGGTTTGACCATCATCTTGCAAAATGGTATCCATGGTAACAGAGGGACAGTGCAAATGTGTGTCTGTGCCTAATCATAATCTGTCATGCTCATAAGGCGAAATCAAAAAGATAAAGTTTGGATAAAGATCCTATAAAAGGTAGACACACCACAGCTGATTGTACTTCCGGGAAGACTCCCTCCAGCGAGCCAACCACTGAATTTTTTAACTACCACAATTCGTACTTTTGACACATTTCTATATTTACCTCCTAGACATTTGAGAAGTCAGACAGGTGTGTTCTGCCTTAACTCTAGTCTTAATTTAGGCAGTAAATAGTTAAACGTCTGATTGTCATTGCATTCCCCAAAAAGTGTATGTGTGGTGTTTACTTTGCGTATGTAATGCACAAACACCTGTATAGATGAATTATTTGTCAAAACATGGCTTTTTCATACCAGATGTCATATTTATATTCATGTGTCTTGTTTGAAGTAAGCAAAACAAATATTTAGAAAGTTCACATTTTTTACAAAAAATATCATCTGCATTAGACTGTATCCTTATGTCAGAATAAAAATGGAATTTTATAGATTAATTCTACTCCGCATCTCTATGAAACGATCTGTTTAGAATCATAATCGGTGTTTAAATAAAAGGGATACTCAATCAGGTTTGTTACTCAATCAGGTTTGTTGACCAGCTGTCATCGGGGAACGTCTGCCAGCATCATGTTCTCTCTCTGCTTGGAGGAGAAAAACAACCAGATGACATTAAACACACACCCTGGACATGAATGGGTTTGTGGTGTGTCTGTTTGCACTCGCAGCTTTGGTGGGCGCTTTCGAAACCCTTGCGAATCATTTGTTTCGAAGCGCCAAAGTCACGTGATTTCTGCAGAGCCATTGTGAACCAGTGGTTTTAATGATTACTGATTAGTTTTATAAATTCGTTTTAATAACACAGCCTTATTAGCCTAATTAACAAGCTCTCCATCAGACAAACAAAACAAGTCCAAGCAAATTAATTTAACAACACACATGCAGACACGTCATATTTAGTAGTATTATATGATTTGGTAATTTTCTTTTAAATAGATTAAACTTTCAATTAAACATTCGCAATAGTTTTTATACATGTTTGAGCTGAGTTTTGTTTCATTTCTGACCAGTAGGCGTCACCAACCTGTGGCGTTTCAAACGCTTAGAAAAATTGAATCATTTTGCGAAGCCTTTGATTCAGTGTTTCAAAAAGCGTTTCTCTCATGATCACTATAAAGACTTGTTGCAGTATAGGTGCAAAAACTACGGAACCATGCGGACAAAAATGTTATCTTGGCCACGAATTAAGAATTCGTCTTTACACATTCATTTTGTTCCCTCGTTTTAGTAGATTGCAATACGTTGTAGGCTACTAATTAGGGATGTAACGATTCACTCAACTCACGATTCGATTCGCGATTTTGATTTCACGATTCGATTCGAGATTTTGATTTCACGATTCGATTCACGATTTTGATTTCACGATTCGAGATTTTGATTTCTCGATTCGATTCACGATTTAGATTTCACGATTCGATTCACGATTTTGATTTCACGATTCGATTCGAGATTTTGATTTCTCGATTCGATTCACGATTTAGATTTCACGATTCGATTCAAGATTTTGATTTCACGATTCGATTCGAGATTTTGATTTCACGATTCGATTAGATTTTTCGATTTTTCGATTCGATTCACGATTTTGATTTCTCGATTCGAGATTGATTCGAGATTTTGATTTCTCGATTCGATTTCTCGATTTCTCGATTCACGATTTTGATTTCACGATTCGATTCGAGATTTTGATTCCACAATTCGATTCACGATTTTTTTTTTTTTAACAAAATTAGATTTAAGACAAATTATAAATTAAATGTGTCCTTTTATTATTGCTTGGACAAAATGCTGCACATTTCTTTGTGAAATTGAAATATAACACTATAATAATATACTAATATAGCACTTGCATATTACTGCTCTTTTGTTGGTTTTGATTGGTTTTGATTGCTTCTATTGTCCTCATTTGTAAGTCGCTTTGGACAAAAGCGTCTGCTAAATGACACAATTTAAATAATATAATTTAAATAATGTAAATGTAAATAACAAAACTACATTGAAACTTTAAAACAAGCCCCAAATCAAATAAATAAGTAACACAAATAAAAGAAATGTCTTCATATAAACAAAATAAGGCTTTGTCTGTGCTCTTTCTATTTAAAATGAGAGGCAACCACTGCATTTGAATCATGATCCAAACAAAGATGCTGCATACATGCAACATGAGCAGTTTTTAATCTAAATTAGATTGTATAATTTAGAAATTTTAAGCAAAAACAGAATGGTTTGACTTCAGTTTTATGAAACTATACATAAAAATATCTGCATGAAACTGAAACAGCCGACGAGCTGAACGAGACGCAGATGCACTCTCTGCCAGCAGGTAGTGCTTAAAGCGTTTCCTGGTTTCTGCTGTAAACAAAGCAGCGCTGCACTTAAGAACTTTAATATGCATTATACAGAGGCAAGTTGAAAAGAAAAAATACCATCTAAATTTTTCTAAAGACAGTAAGTTCCCCTCAGACATGCATTAAACTCCTACACCTAATTGAATCGCGATTTGTTTAGCATCTCAACCGATTTGAATCATCACATAGGCCTACTTGAATCGATTTTCAACCGGCTCGCGGTTAATCGTTACACCCCTACTACTAATATTTGAATTAGGCACGGTTTTACTTAAACGAGGGAAGGGAACTGGCTTAAATGGACTGAAGCAGAAGACGCAGTTAAACTGGATGAAATGCAGGAGAGTCAGCCCTCCACCTCTCATAATCGTGATCGCAATAGAGAACAGTCGCCGTTTGCTTAACAGGAACTCTGAGGAAAGGTTAATGTGCAATTCAAAGCAGAAAATGGGATTGGAGGGAAACAAACACGGCCGGATGTCAGGAAGGCAATCTGATTAAAAGAGCCAGCAGAGGAGAACTGGCAGCGCAGCTAAACTACATTTCCACACTCATCGTTTGAACAAGCTGCCCTGAGGCTGTCCTGGCTAAAACGATGATGAAGAGCTTTTCTCCTTTTCTCTACCTCTCTGTTACTTTAATCTCATGCTCATTTTAAGCTGAGCACTTTTAGGCTATGTAAATTGAATTTTTAGGTGCTTTTGTTAACGCGTGCCATGAATATAAAGAAGCAAATGCAGGATGATAGTTGTTCAAATTTAGAATAAGGTTCAGAAATCTGTGACCCAAAACAATGCTGCCTTTTCAGGCAAAGTGTATATTACATGTATGTATCCTTGTAAACTAACATTTTCCGAGGTAAACAACTATTGTTCAATTTAATTGTTTAGTTGCATTGCAATTAAAATAACTCAGAGTAATGTAAGATTATTATATTGTGTAAAATTACAATACACAAACCTTTTTTTGGTGACATGTTTTGACTAATTGTCTGTTATTTTTTTATATATATTTTAGAATACATTTATATATTAATATATAGCTTTATTAATTTACAATTTAGTTAAAATCAATATTTTGTATAATTAGCAGTCAGTATTATTTGTTGCTTAGTCAAGTGTATTATTTATATATAAATATCTCTAATATACATTAGAGATGCACATTAGTGTGCAAATGTCCTTAATGTATGAAAATAATGGCACAGTGCAAACTATGTATAATTTAATTAAACTTTTAATTTCAAAGAGAAATGAATTTAAACGACTTAATTTGATCAATTATATCTTATTTTATTATTATTATTATTATTAGCTTGAATCTTTGAGGGGAAATATGACCCAGACATGTTCTTGTTCTTTTGTTAGACTGACATTTACAACAACACAACTCGTTTATTGTCCATGAGCAACTCGGGTGAAACAGACCCTTTACACAGACAACAAATTCAAACTATTTAAGGAACAGAAATATCATACAGCAACTAGAAACATGTACTTCCTGCACATTTAAAATCATATGTCTTATCAATGTTATCAGCTCCTAGCAATGCCAATACAATTTCGACCTAGAACGACCTTCTGTTTCTCACTTTTACTGCTTACAAGATCCTGCAGTCCTTTAATGTCGTTTCTCGTCTGGGATCAGATATCTGAAATCACTCCAGATTACACTGTAGTGTCCGTGCGAACTCGCAAACTGACCCTAGATCAGCTCAGCGACCAATAAGAACAGACACAGCGCTTTCCAATGGGTAGCCACAGCACCGCCTTTACAAAATACCTCCGTGTATAATTACGCCATCATTGATTTATCATTTTTATTATCGTTATTTTACTAACACTTCAACTATTACATTGTAATAAGTATTTTTTAACTTACATAAAAGGACAAGTATGTCAAATTATAAAAAAAGAAAACAGGCAAACTCTATAAACCCCCTGCGGACTGTGTACTTTTCTCTCAGCGCTGGAGCGGTCCTGCTAGAGCTAGCCTAATCCAGGTCTTTTCGTACATTTTTGGGAGATTTTATTTCATCTCATTGGTCACGATGCTGAGCACGGTCAGCCGGCAACTCAGAAGCCACCCTGCCGTAAGTGAACGATGATTTCGGGAGGATTTATCTGGTAAAAGACGGCGGCAAGGAGGAGTTGTAGAAACGCTACCGCTAGCCTGTTAGCGTCCCTGCTGCGGAATGCTAGACATGCCACCAGTCTAGATGTGTATACCTCTGAATAAACGTGAACTAATTAGTCCCAAAATACGTATTGATTAAATTACAGGAAATTTTAAAACGGCGATTCCCAGGCCTGGAAAATTAATGTTATTAAAATAGTACAATTGTATGGAAATATTTCCTCTAAATGTTTTCGTCGATTAAAATCGCTCTTTTTAGTGCAATCTCAAAATTATTTCGTAAAGATAGAGAAACCAGAATAAATACCAATGAAATGCTTTGTGAAGCTAACGAGTGTTCATATTGGGCTGCCACAATTACACGAACATTTCAAAAGTGTCAAACCAGTCGCAGCTGTCACTCAAGTAAACACTTTACCGCTGTGTTGTGCGTGCCACATTTATTTATTGCGAAGCTTTATGCAAGTAATTAGGTGAATTGTACATTTGATTTAAATTAAATGACTTTAAAACGAGTTTTATTGTATGTGCGCATTTAACACGAGGAGGCCTTCGTGTCACGTGACAGCCCTGGCTTTCTGGAGCTCAAGGACGAGCGTGTTGAACTAAAGGGCACGTTACTGCTCTTGTCTTTGGTTTCTTAATATTTCTTTGTTAGTTGGCGCCATGTTTTAATTTCATGGTCCACATCTTCTGAACTTCTGTTCTGAAGACTGTGAACTGATTATATTTGCATGTGAAGTTTTGAAGCTGTGGGAAGTTTTAGGAGGAACTCTGATTTGCTATATTATAGTTATGTAAGGCTTTTGTGCTTCGTTAAGCTACATTTGTGAACAGTTTTATGTAACCGTAATGTCAGTCATTACTGTATAATCTGGGTTTGTGGTTCTCAACTGGAGGTCTGTATTTTTGGAAATGTTATTTGCTTATGTGCAATAAATAATATTTTGGGTTGCGAGTTGATATACAATAAAATTGACGTTCTGAAGCAAAATCGATTGCGAACCACCATACTAGATGGCCATCAACCATGATTTCGAAGTTTATTACATCACCTTCAAGTCATTTGACTTGCTTTATATTTGTTTTTTTGTTCCCCTCTCATCGTAGTTGATCCCACTGTTGATTTTCATTGGCGGTGGATGCACCATGTCTCTGACATATCTGGCTCGCCTGGCCTTGCGTAACCCAGATGTCTGGTAAGTATCTGTTCTGCGGTAGATACAAATTCTGTCTCTCACAATAGAGAGGGCCTCTATTAATCAATTAATAAAGGCCTGGTGCCTTTTTTTAAGTGAGGAACGATTGTTATTGAGATTGATGAATCTGATTTGTGATAATTCATACCTTGACCCAAACAGTTGGGAGAGAACAACAGTGCTGCTCAGATGTTCATGCCATCGTTGTATTTAGTTTTATCATGCATGCCTCATTCATTTCTGCACTCATTTGCTTCATCCACAGCTGGGACAAAAAGAACAACCCAGAGCCCTGGAATAAACTGGGGCCCAATGATCAGTACAAGGTATGATACATGTGCATGATCATTTAAACCAGGGATCCTCAGATCTGGCCCACGAAATCCACTTTCCTGCAGAGTTTAGCTCTTACACTAATCAAACACACCTGAGCATGCTAATCAATGTCTTAAGGATGGTTAAGGCTAGATGGTATACAGCTTCGTCTACTGGGCATGCGCACATCAATATAGTGTATTTTTTGTCACACTGCACAACAATAATGACTATTTTTGCATTATTGTAAGGGGTAGGTGTAGACGTTAATAAAACAAAATCTAATAGGTAGAAAACTTAATTTATTATTAGCTTCCAGTTTTATCTGTATCCCTTCTTGCCACAAACCTTAAAGGGGTCCTATTATGCTTTTTTACAAAGTCTTGATTATGTTTTGGGGGTGTACTAGAACATGCTCTCATGCTTGGTGGTTCGAAAAACGCATTATTTTTCACATAATTTATATTATTAAAATACCTTTCTTCCCAGGCTGGCACAAACGGCTCGATTAGTTCCGGCTTTGATGAAGGTCCGCCTTCCAAAAAACAAAATGTGTTGTGATTGGTTAGCTTTCCCAGTGCACACTGAACAAGAAGCGCAGCATCGCGCCACGTCTTTAAAATTCAAATACTTTATTTTCTATGAGTGTAGGCACACCGGCGGCGCCGTTCGGCGTCTGTCTGCGGCGCCCAGCTACGTCGTGTTATACTTGTAAGAATTGTTCTAGACATGCCGAAAATTTGAAGCTACAGCACAGCAGCTCTTCTTCTTCGTTTTCTCTGATGCACTAACTCTGCAGCAGCACTTCTTCTTCGTCGTCTCGTCTGATGCACTCACTCAACCAAGCGTTCTAACCACAACCTCGCCCCTCCCCACCCCCCAACCATTCGAATTTCTGTAGGCGGGAATTCTTTGTAATGATATTCCAATGAGCCACTTTGTGATATCACAAAGCCCAGAAAACAAACGCTGTAGTCCAAACGAGCCATTCGTTGTAGTTCTTGAAAAAAATGAAATATCTCCCTTTGGAGTGGACTTTGAGATTTGTAACTTTCTAGATCTTTTTTTATGCCCAAACATACACACTACACACTGACTAAAATTAAAAAAGTCAAAAAGAATAATAGGACCCCTTTAAAGGATGATTAGAATATCTCAGGTAGGTGAGTTTGATCAGGGTTGGCGCTAAACTCTGCAGCGCATTGGCCCTCTAGGGCAAGATTTGAGGATCCTTGATTTAAACCCTGTTTTCAGAATGTATATCGCTTCTAAGTGAATTGGATTCTCTGATTTATTTTGTTCCATGTATTTAAAGTAATGTTCTGGGTTCTATCCAAGTTCTGTCAACAGCATCTGTGGAATCGAAACATAATTTGGACTCATCCTTCAGTTTGAAACTATTGCATTTACACTAAAGTACTTTGAATGGAAGCCTATTGAACCAGCCACTGAATGACTCTTTGCTTACAAATTTTTAAAGTGATAGAACATGACTGTGCCACAGTAATGACATTCAAAAGTAGGCACGAGAAAACTAAGCTTTTCAATAATGACAGAATTCAGAAACATGGTGTGTGCCTATTGTTTTATGGAAAACATTTAACAAAGCTATACAGTAATAATCACTAGTATTATTAATTTACAATATTTTTATGTAATTTTATTTAAAATGTGTACATTAGTATATACAAAAATATTGCTACTATAGCAATATTACTGTTGTAAAGTGAAATGTAGTAATGTGAATTTTTTTTTCTTTTATATGTTACAACAGTAGAATTGCAATACTACTATTCATGGCTGTCTTAACATGACTGTGCCACAGTAATGACATTCAAAAGTAGGCACGAGAAAACTAAGCTTTTCAATAATGACAGAATTCAGAAACATGGTGTGTGCCTATTGTTTTATGGAAAACATTTAACAAAGCTATACAGTAATAATCACTAGTATTATTAATTTACAATATTTTTATGTAATTTTATTTAAAATGTGTACATTAGTATATACAAAAATATTGCTACTATAGCAATATTACTGTTGTAAAGTGAAATGTAGTAATGTGAATTTTTTTTTTCTTTTATATGTTACAACAGTAGAATTGCAATACTACTATTCATGGCTGTCTTCATTTTTTGCTTTCATTCGTTAAACCATTTTCTAAACGTTTCTAAACGATCTCCATTTACAAGATGGTTGGGTTGGCCTGACCTGAACTTAGAACAGATGCCAATCCACACATTTACTGTGAAATGAACTGCTAAAAACAGATTTTATTCACTGCTGCAGTTTACTTTGAAACGCACTCCTCGTTAGACTATAAGTACACATTATTAAATTGGGAGTTTTCATTTTGGATCCTGTATACAATGCTTCATGATCTTCGATCAGGTAACTCACAAAACATTGAGCCTAAATTTTTCACATTTGTGCACAGTAATTTGGTTAGAGTATAGAGCTATTGGCATAAACTTAAAAAAAAAAAAAAAAAACCTTTCAATTTTTATTGGGGGGAAAAAAAACTCCTTTATATGACCAGGTAAACCTGCTGAATGTATGTTTTAAGCTATTTTACAGCTCAGACAACGCATTTTTGTACTGAAGGACTATATTCTCGGCTTTTAGATACTGTGGAATTCCTTACCTTGACCATTTTAACGGTCTTTCTTTAAGCATGATTTTGACTTTTTTTATGAACTGAGGGACAAGTCAAAGTTATAGTCTGTGGTAATTGGTAAAACTTTTGCTTTGATTCAGAATGTTCTTTAAATATGATGATAAAGCACTCTTCAAGATGTTTTTGGCATCCAGCATGCATCAGTAGTTTTAAGTTTGCAAGCTAACTGACCAGTGTATGTGGTGTTAGTACAGCGCTTAAACCTGCCATTGTTGCCGGAGCGCCTAAGGGGATCCTATTAAAAGATGTGACTGTAGGACCGTATCAAGACCTAATCTCAGATCTTAATGAGTTTAATTCATTAAGCGCTCCATAAGCTCATTTTATGTGTTCTGTTGGTATAAATCTAATCATGCTCATGTCTTAATGTGAATTTGATGTGGAGTCGAGTTCAAGTTCAATACTTAAAACAGGCAGTAGAGATAATGGGTTTTGCAGAGTGCATGTTGTTAAACTGCTTATTTTGTATTCTCAGTTTTCTGTTCTTTTTCAAGTTCTACGCAGTGAGCACGGACTACAGCAAGCTGAAGAAGGACCGTCCTGACTTCTAAACGAATCCAGAAGCCCAGTGCTGGACCAAAGGTTTAAAAACAAACTAAAGATCAACAGGACGTCCGCACACTTGTCCTCAACAGCCCTTGTTCCTAATTTATGCAAAGATACTAAATTGCACTTGTCTTTGCTTTCCTGGATCCCTTTTTAACATCTATGATGTCTTGTATTTTCTCTGAAGTCTTTGTAGTCAGAAACGATTAATAAAGGGTTTTCTCCCACATACAGTGAAAAACTGTTCATGTGTCATGATTATTTTGGTGTTTATACCAATGTTTCTGAGACCAGGTCTTTGTTCACACTGCACACAAACCTGATTTAGTTTTCATGTCTGATTTTACTGTTCGTATTGGTATTTTGCAAAGCGAAAACATTGCGTCTGATACTTTTGCTGTTGCTTATTTTCAACTTAAAATTTTTTTTTTTTTACAGTAACTAGGATTGTTGATATAGTTACATTTGATGATTTCTGACGTTCGAAACAGTTATGGAGTTGGGAAAAGAGAAAATCTTGATTGTGTGGTTTAAAGGGGTGATCGGATGCCAATTTTCCACAAGTTGAAATGATTCTTTAGGGTCTTAATGAAAAGTCTATAACATACTTTGGTTAAAATTTCACAATGGTAGTGTAAAAAAACACCCTTTTTACCCTGTTAAAATCAGCTCTGTTTTCAGCATGCCGTTCTAGTATGTGTTGATTTAAATGCTAATGAGCTCTGCTGACCCCGCCCCTCTCCCGTGGGGTGACGAGCAGACTGTAAACTTCAGCCGCGAAACTGGCTACCTAGCACATATTAGGAAAGGCGATTTGCAAAGATTCATAAAAAAACCCTTATACTCACTTCTTCTGTAGATGAAGCTAGTGATGGAAAGTCTGGTTCTTTTCCGTGAACCAGTTCTTTCGGACAGTTTGTTTCAATGAACCAGTTAAAGAAAACCGGTCCATTGGTTCTTTTACGCCCTAAAGTAATGACTTAATGATATCAAGTCTATCGTCCCGGGCCGGGATGAAAATACATATTCAAATATATAAAGTCTGTAATCATAACTTCAGTCAGTTAAAACATCATAATCATGATCTGAAAAGTTTACAATTAAGTTTTGCTATTAGGCACCCAAATACAGTCACAGGCAGTGATGTGCATACGAGGATTTAAGTCTTGAAGATATAAAGCAGGGCTGTCCAAACTCGGTCCTGGAGGGCCGGTATCCAGAAGAGATTAGCTCTAACCGCAATTAAACACACCTGAACCAGATAATCAAGCTCTCACTAGGCATACTAGAAACTTAAAGGCAGGTGTGTTGAGGCAAGTTGTAGCTAAACTCTGCAGGACACCGGCCCTCCAGGACCGAGTTTGGGCACCCCTGGTATAAAGTAAACAAATTAGTTGTCATCCGCGAAGAAACCATAATCCACTTACTATACATAATCTATAGTGATTTATTTGTTATTAAATACACCTCGGTTTACCCGCGCTCATAGCATTAGCACAGATTGAGTTGTCCAAAAAAACAGGTCGGTTCAGACGTGCTGTGTCTGTAGGTCGTAGGCAATCATGTACTGTTCGGTAGCTTCATGCTGAATCACGCATCGCGCAGTATCATCAGCTCATTGGTTCTCAAATCGGATGTGTCCGAAAGAACGGTTCTCCACAGTATTGTGAGGAGGGGCTGCACAGAGATAACGGTGTTAAGCAGCAGTATAACACATAAGATGATGATGGTACACCAATCGAATTAGACATTGAATGGCAGGAGCTGCACTGAGTACAGGGCAGACAACAGAAACAATAACATATAGGGCTGCGCAGAGTAATTACTGTGCAAGGCTGCAAACACACATGAATAGAGGTAGCATAAACGTGAAACAGTCATTCACCGGCAGCACTTGGGAGGCTAAGGACTGAGCGTCCAGCTTGTAAAACCTGGCGAAGGTATTCTGAGAAGACCAGCCGGCTGCAAAGCATATATCCTGAATAGACATACCTCTCGACCACGGCCAGGAGGAGGCAATAGCTCTTGTCGAGTGGGCCCTAATGTGCAAAGGACATTCCAAACCTTGGCTTGTATAACAGCCGTGTTAGCGTCCTTTTTGACATGGCCAGGCCCTTCGCACAACCACCGTAGCACACTAAAAACTGGTCAGATTGCCAAAAGCTGGCCGAACGGTCAATGAAAATCCTCAAAGCCCTGACGGGGCACACCGAAATCTGAGCGTCCGCATCACGCGAGGTCGGTGATTCAGAAGACAGGGCAGACAGTGAAACAGTCTGCGCACTGAAGGGGGTAGATAGTGATTTAGGCACATAGCTTGGTCTCGGCCGGAGAGTGACAGTGCAGTCACCAGGTCCGAAGCGAATACAATCGCTGTCCATTGCAGTTTGAGAGATAGCTCCTTCATAGCAATGGATGCTAAAGGCTCGAATGATGGGTGTGAAAGAGCTCTTAACACCACCTCTAGGTCCCAGGGTGAAACTGAAGGCGGACGCGGGGAATGCAACCTCCTCGCCCCCTTAAGAACACTCACCACCAGCGCGTGCCTACCGATTGATTGCCCACCCAGCGGGGAACGAAACGAGGCAATAGCGGCCAGTGTTGATGATAGACATCCATTATCAAGCCTGTACTGTAGAAAACGCAGAACATCCGACACAGAGCAAGCAGCCGGGTCGATATGAACATCACGGCACCACAAACACTCCCCATTTTAGAGCATAGAAATATCTTGTGGAGGGCGCCCGCACCTCAGAGAGCGTATCAAGCACATGAGAATGCCCGGTCAGCTCCTCTGATATCCCCGAAGCAGCCACACATAATGGCTCAATAACTCCAGGTTGGGGTGCCACACCGAGCCACTTGTTTGAGATGGCAGATTTCGACTCGGTGGAGATGCGCGCTTGCCTCTCTCGGGAGCGCTCGGTGGCCATTTTGTGAACACATACGGCCTGGCTGCTGGCCAGTGCGATGTCAGAATGTCCCCTTCCAGCCGGGAGTGAGACCGGGAGAAGAAGCGCATTCTCACTCGTGGCGAACAGATCCACCTCCGTTCTCCCGTAGTGGGTCCAAATCATCTGAACCGACTCGGGATGCAGCCTCCACTCTCCTTGAGGAATCCCCTTCCTCAAAATCATTTCTGCCCCTCGGTTCAGGAGACCAGGGATGTGCGCTGCTCTGATGGAGAAAAAGTGACGGTCCGTCCATAGCAGGAGATACGCTGGCTGCTTGTACCGAGCCTTGGATCGTACGCCCCTTGGTGATTTATGTACGACACCTCAGACGTTGTCGGTGTGAATCAGTTCATGTCGCTGTTCCAGCTGCGGCCGTAAATCCTTTAGAGCTAAGAACACTGCTTCCAGCTCCAAGCGGTCTATGTGCCACCGGCTCTGAGGTTCTGACCACAGCCCTGAAGCCGGCATGCCCTCGCACACTGCTCCCCATCCGCATGTTGATGCGTCCGTCGTGACCACGACACGTGACGTCATCAAGCCCAGGGGAACCCCCCGGCTGAGGAGATCTTTGCGCCATGGCCTCAGGGCTTCGATGCAGCCGCGGGAGACTGCAATGCGCAAACGGTCCGAAGTCCACGCTGTCCAACTGGCTCAAGATTTCAGCCATAACTGCAAGCGGGCGCATGTGTAGTAAACCCAGATGACATACTGATGCCGCTGCCATGAGTCCCAGCAGACTCTGACATTACTTCAAGTGATCAGAGCTGCCCAGTCTGAAATGGTGCAGGGAAGACAAAAATAGACTGACTCGGGGCGAGAATGCTCTTACGCACATTCACACATAGCCCCAAGAACTCCAAGTGACGAAACAGTTTGTCTATATGGCTGTCTATAGTGTGTCCCGTGACTGAGCTAAGATCAGCCAGTCATCCAAATAATTGGGAACGCGCATCCCGCTCACTCTGAGGGGGGCTAGTGCTGCGTCCATGCACTTCAAGAAAGTGCGCGGGGCCAAAGCCAACCCAAACGGGAGAAAAGAGTACTGGTACGCTGTGCCTCGAAAGCAAATCCAGACTCTGACATTACTTCAAGTGATCAGAGCTGCCCAGTCTGAAATGGTGCAGGGAAGACAAAAAAAGACTGACTCGGGGCGAGAATGCTCTTACGCACATTCACACATAGCCCCAAGAACTCCAAGTGACGAAACAGTTTGTCTATATGGCTGTCTATAGTGTGTCCCGTGACTGAGCTAAGATCAGCCAGTCATCCAAATAATTGGGAACGCGCATCCCGCTCACTCTGAGGGGGGCTAGTGCTGCGTCCATGCACTTCAAGAAAGTGCGCGGGGCCAAAGCCAACCCAAACGGGAGAAAAGAGTACTGGTACGCTGTGCCTCGAAAGCAAATCTCAGAAAGCGTCTGTGATGCGCTGCTATCTGAATGTGAAAGTACGTGTCCTTTAAATTCACGGACACAACCAATACCCGGGGCGAATTCGCGCCAGGATCTGTTTTATCATCCTGAAAGCACGCTTGCAGAGTGCTCTGTTGATGGGCCTGAGATCTAGAATCGGGCGGAGTCCTGCATCTCTCTTGGGCACCATAAAATGGCGGTTGTAAAACCCCCAAAATCTCCAAGTGACGAAACAGTTTGTCTATATGGCTGTCTATAGTGTGTCCCGTGACTGAGCTAAGATCAGCCAGTCATCCAAATAATTGGGAACGCGCATCCCGCTCACTCTGAGGGGGGCTAGTGCTGCGTCCATGCACTTCAAGAAAGTGCGCGGGGCCAAAGCCAACCCAAACGGGAGAAAAGAGTACTGGTACGCTGTGCCTCGAAAGCAAATCTCAGAAAGCGTCTGTGATGCGCTGCTATCTGAATGTGAAAGTACGCGTCCTTTAAATTCATGGACACAACCAGTACCCGGGGCGAATTCGCGCCAGGATCTGTTTTATCATCCTGAAAGCACGCTTGCAGAGTGCTCTGTTGATGGGCCTGAGATCTAGAATCGGGTGGAGTCCTGCATCTCTCTTGGGCACCATAAAATGGTGGTTGTAAAACCCGCTCTCCAGTTCGCTCGGAGGGACTCGTTCTACCACTCCTTTTTCGAGCAGGTTGCATACCTCTTGTCTCAGAACCAGGGCAGTTCGAGGCAATGTTAGAGACTTCACCACGCCGTTGAAACGGGGTGGTCTGCATCTGAATTCAAGGGCGTACCCATGCTCTATCACACCGAGTAACCAGCGCAAGATTCCCAGAATAGTTTTCCACGTGCTCAGGAACTGACA